CATTAACTGCACACAACAACAAAAAGCAGCAGCGCACCACCTGTCGGCCCCAGCCCTGCTGCTGGCTCTATCTGGAGAGATGAAGAACAAGGATTCGAGGAGCAAGACTCCTCCAGCCGCCTGCAGACCCAGCAAAGCACCCACCCTCCTTTAAGTGGACCGTACAGTATGTGGTGGTGTTCACTCAGGGTATACAGTATGTCAGTCCATTCTCAGCTGATCAAAATCCCTGGCTAGGGTCCAAAAAACCATATTTACAATATACTGGTTCACATCAAAGAGAATTTGGAAATCTCTTAAATCATCTAATACTTCCTGTTGGGGCTGAGGGTGACATGGCTGACAGTAGTTCTCAACATTAAAACGGGTGAGATCCCCGTAAATAATAAAAAAATAAATAGTACTTTGCATATGAAAATGAAATGTATTACTTTTGTTTTTTTATTGTTTGTTTTTTGCATTGTGACATTTTTATGACATTTTCCACCAAATTGTCATTAACATATTTTGTCCAGACATTGCACTTTTTGAGTTTTGTAATGCACATTCTCAGTGGTATTCTCAACTTTCATATATATATATTCAAAAAAGCATCAATACTGTACAAAACACGGTTTCATTTATTAATTTATGCAGATTTTTATAAGTAGACAGTATTTTGTACAGTATTGCTGTTTTGTAATTTTCATTATGCATTATTGTAATGTAATTTTTGGTTTGAAATGTGCATTATTGTCAAGAAAATGTAAAAGGATCTTAATTTTTCCATAAGCCAAAAATAACAATAATAACTTTGATTTGGGTATGAAATATGGTCAGAACTGTTCTTTGAGACTTTTCGTGAGATTCACCCAAACACTTGGGTTTAGTTTTTAGGCTTTACCAACAATCTCTTTTGAAACAAATATATAAACTCAAAACACTACGTAAACACGTTTCCTTCTATCATTATATCAAGTGCACTACATATGTAGGCCATACATTGCTGAGAGATGTGCTGGCTTGCTGACGTTGACTCAACTGGAATTGAAAACAAGTTGTGATCGCAGAATGTGTAAGACTAGAGTTATGTAGCCTCCCACGCTGAAATCTCACCTCACGTTAGCATGTTGAAGCATGTCGAGAGAATGCAAGGATTATGATAAAGCAGGAAGTCATTGCAAAAAAAAATACGTGTGGTCTTTAGAAGTCAACATGGAGTTATGTACTGTAGGATGGCAGGGGTGTTTTAGAGAGTTTGTGTTGTACTGCTGTACTGAACATGGGGTGTGAGATTTATAAAGAGATACACTGCAGGAGAAACAAACTGGAAGGTTTTGTTTTATTTTATTTATTTTTTTTGGAGTACCAAAGCATTATACTGTATGACAGATAATGTCATAGCAAATTGTATTTATTTATTTCTAAAGTGTATTTTCTATAATTATTATCTATTATACAGCTTTAAATAAATGCCCTTATTCAAAAAGGAAAATTCTAATTTATTAATTTATGTATTTCAAAATAGATATATATTTTGGTAGAAAGAAATTAATTCAAGTACACTTCTGTTCAAAAGTTTGGGGTCAGTAATCTCTTACGCTCACCCAGGCTGCATTTATTTCATCAAAAATACAGTAAAACAGTAATATTGTGAAATACTATTGCCAAATTAAAAATAAAGATTTTCTATTTTAAATTATTTTAAAATGTAATTTATTCCTGTGATGCAAAGCTGAATTCTCAGCATCATTACTCCAGTCTTCAGTGTCACGTGATCATTCAGAAATCTTTCTAATATGCTTAAGTTAAAAAGAACAGCATTTATTTAAATTGGAAATATTTTATAACAGAAATATTCTGTTCGTCACTTTTGGATCAATTTAATGTGTCCTGAATAAAAAGTATTATTTTCTTTCAAACTGTTGAACAGCAGCGTACCTATAATTCATGTACTTCTCATGAATACAACACAGATTCAGCGAATTATGACTGCATGTAACATAATTTATTCAAAATGTAGAGGATATGATTGATTGTTTGGTTTCTTGTCATCAGTGTTCTGAAGATGCAAACTCATTTTACATATTACTCAAATGACTGTTTTGTTTTGTTGCCTCGGTTGCCACACTTTCTTAATTTCCCAACCCATTGAAATTAAAAAACAGATATTCTTCCCATGTCACAACCTCCCATTTGGCACAAAGTTGTTTTTATATGAGCACTTTTTGTTCCACTGGTAAACTGCCTCACATCATTACACTGATTAAAATCCATTTATCAGTTACTTGCGGTATGTTACTTGGAACCATTTGCCCTTTTAATAATATTGTAGCCTAACAAGTTTAGTCATCCTCTACCTTCTGTGTTTACCAGCCCTGACTCATATTATTATTACAGCAGGAATGCCGAGTATCTAGTGATCTACATAAACACCTGATGAAAACTACTTATGATGATGACTTATATACTCTATAAAGCCAAAGAAGTAACAAAACCTTCCAAATATTGACATGTTTGATAGGAATTGAGTGATTTTTACTGTACTGCTATTTGCACATTGCTTTAAATTAAATAACACAATTACGTGATTTTTAAACACTTGACAATGTGAACCGGAACACAGGTGAGGGTGAACCATCCTCGTGAAAACGTCCCTCCCTACCGTGACCCACACTCATCTGATAGGCTTTGTCATTTAATCCCTCCTTTTCTGCCATGGAAACACAGAGACTGAGTCTGTATGACTTCCAACTCAGGTGTGAATGCGGATGGGGGAGGGCAACATGTGATCCGCCCAAACCTGTCTCAACTAGTCTGAGAAACAAACGCTCGAGGCTCTTCAGGGAAATATACTGGGGAACTACATGAAAAGGCGAAGAATTCAAGGCAAGGGAGTGCCAGCCAAGCTATTGTTTGGAGAGTTCTCTTGTCAGGTTTAGTTTTGACTTCGGACTTGTGCCACTTTGTTTGGCTGCTTCAATAAAACCTTGAAAAATTCCATTAGATCACACAAAATGAAGGCATCAACATCTTTGGCAAGGTGTTTGCTGTACACATTGTAATGTGTGCCATTTCTACTAAGAAAGTGTGGGAAAGCTTTTCATTACTAATGCATTAGTCATTCATTAATGTTCCTGTTAAAACCTGAGAAACTCTTCAACCAAAACAGAATTGGAGTAGCTTCCTGGTTCGTGGGAGGAGGTTGCAGTCTTTGTTAGTTGAAACTTTGCATAAGTCATACCACAATGATATAGGAACTTTGTTGGCAGAAACTTGAGCAACAGGTCTGACCTGTATTTCAAACCACTCCACGCACGGCTCCCTCACAGGTTTAATTATTAGTCTTTCTCTGCACTTGAATGGTCTGCAGCTTCGAGTTAACAAACAGCCACTTTGTTTTAAATTTTGAAAGAACAAAAAAAAGGTTTGTACAAACGCACAGGTTGAAGTGCTGTATAATTAGACCCTACAGGCCCTGTATCATTTAAAACATCCTCTTTTATGTCAAAAAATAAGGTGGATAATGCACATACCACCATATGTAACTCAAATTACCCAAAGCTTCCACTTCCGTTATTTTTAACTGTACAAAACTAGTCCGTTATGCTAAGTGATATTGCAAAAATTGGCATGGTTATATTTTACCGTATTATCGTAATCATACCAGTTTGTAGTGCAAATAGTTTTTCCATTTACTGCATGTTACCCTTCTAGTTATTTACCTGTAGTGACTAATGAATCAGAAGTCTCACATTCACAGGAAAGTTTTTGAAATGCGTAAGTAAATGGTGTCTACTTGACACTGCATTATTTGATTTGGACAACGTGTAGTCACACTAAAACTAGTCCCATTCAACGAGTTGCCATCACAGATTTGAATTCTGTGGTGAATCTCATATGGTAGAGAACAGGTGCAGCTCAACTGATTGCCATGGGCTGAAAAGGACAGATCATGTGGTTGGAAACAAAAGCTAGGAATCGTTTTGTGCTAGGATAGTCCTTTTCATTTAGCAAGACCAATACAGCTCTATAGTTCAAAGGACTTTGATTTAGATTACCATATGCCTGGTGTATCTGCCATATGCTAAAATTAACAACTTGCATGACAACGTTTAAACACAACAACAAATTTTATTAAAAACTTACAAGTCAAACTGTACAGTGTTAAAATGTTGATCCAATTGAAAATGAGCCCTCATTAAATAGAAAAAAAAAGGTAACAAACATTTAAAAACAAAAACTGTACCCCGCATGTAACAGACACTTAGTTTATCTAACATGAAAAAATGTCACAAGCAAAAAAGTACAGCAGGTTTAAGCTTCAGCATAGGGCACATCCCAGTGTCAGACTCAGGTACATGAGACGTTATTAATAGCTTTAAGACATGGTCTCCATCTCTCTGGGCTGCAAGAACAAAAGGAAATGTGTTAGAATACAAAAGCTTGCTTTCTATTGGTGAAGTACCCACACAGTTTGGACCATACTGAAATAAATGAGAACTAACCTGTGCTTTACTGTACTGGGCCTTCTGTCGCCGTGCGAGGAAGAACTAAATAGAGGAATAAAAACAGTTAAGACTACAAGCACCCATCAAGTTAAACAAAACTTGAAATATAGGGTACTTACCAAAACCAGAAGTCCTGCAATCACAATCAAGCTGACCACCACTATGACAGCAATGATACCACCAGTCAGCTTCTGCATGGTGAAGGTGGGCGCCACTTCATCTACATAGTACACCAGGATGTTCTCCATGGACACCTTTGATCCCTCAACACTGACTTCAAATGGTTTTTCGTCTAGAAAGAGGGGCTTAACTTTGATCTATGAGAGACAAATTAATTGTTACATATTAAGTTACAACATAACACCAGGTATGAAGATAAGAAACTGAAACGAGACTCACGTCCTTCTCCATGTAGTAAGTCATGAGGGACAGGTCTGTAATGCGTTCTTTCTCAGGCTTTTTGACATCCACAACAATGAGACGGCCATCTTTGTCATACTGGAAAAGAGGAGGTGGGTCGTGTTAGGTTCTGTACCAAGTTGAAGGGTTAGATAACAACGGTAAATTCTTACCTTAACCTCAGACACAAATTTCTTATCCAACTTGTAACGTTCCAGCAAAGCATTCTCAATCCCACTGTAAAAGAGTAACATCAGTAAAGCAAAACTTCATATTTCACATGGTCCAGCAAGACCCTAGAAATCAATTGCAACATACGTCTTCAGTTTGGTAGCATCAAGAGGAACGGTTACATCTTTATGCTTCAGTTCCAGGCGAACCCAACTAGAGAAGAAAACATGGCATTGTCAGAATTTACTAGTCTTGCTTCCTTCCACAAACAGCATTACTATTCCAACCACACTTCAAACTAGGTGTGTCGGTCAGAAAAACATCCTGTTAACAGCTCTGCTAATACAAACACACTCACTAGGTCTCCACGGGCTCACACTTGATGTTCTTGTCTCCCTTGTCACTTCTGCGCACACCAGCACTGTTGACGCACCAGCACACATCAGTGCCATTACACTGGATTGCCTTGAACTTTCCCTCATTCTCACACTCTGGGTCATAGATGCCATCATTGTCCACAAAGGCAGTTTCTACAGGTTTCCCACCAATTGATCTTGTGGTCAGGTTGTTCCTGGCACGATACATCTCCGCTTTCATGAGGTAGCACTTGGGAATCACTGTGGGTAGGGAGAATTGAAGACACTTACTACAATTGATGGGATGATCAAAGCCCCTTAAACCTGCCTGGTTTGTTGGTAGAAGCAAGGGAAGCTGGAGCTCAGCTAGTTTAGGTGGAGTTACCAAAACTCCTCAAACCAGACTGGGAGACCAGTTAAGTCAGTCAAGAAAACAATATTTACCAAATAAATTTAAGAGCAAATATAAAAGAAAACTCACATTTTGTACAATCAAGCGGTTGCTTGTTTGTTGGAGAAAATTGAAGAGTGCACTGGCATGTGTCTCCATCACATTTGGCCCATTTCATACTGTTACAAGAACCTGTTGGATTTAAAAAATATATATATAAATTCGTGAGAAAAGTGGACTTCGTTTAAAAAAAAAAAAAAACTTTATTAGGGAGATGGGTTTAAATTCAAACGCATAACCCAGTAGAAGTAGAGCTCCCCCACCCCCACATACTGAACCACACCCTGGATCTCATCGTTTTGTTTGCCTCCCAACTGCCAAGTTAACAACTAGGTTAAAACAGCTTGTCATAATTTAACCCGATATGGTAACAGTTTATGTTTTAAAATAGTCGTTACTTACATTGTGAGGTGACATCCACTAACGCCACAACAAACAAGGCGATCAAAACCTTCATCGTGGATAAGAACTGAAAAACAAAAGGAGTTTCGTCGTTATAAATCACTCCGTAAGAAGAACTGATGCGTTAATCTGCAGAATCTCTGGGCAATTCAACTAGTCTTTAAACACTAAAGTCTTCTTACCAAACAAAGCTTTAAGGAAAACTAGAAATCCAACCAGAAAAAGTTATTCCGCTACAACGAATAGATCCCGCAGATATCCTCTCTCTCTCCGGCCAAACGACTGATCTAAACGCGCAACAGGTGTCAAATTATGTATACCTGTTTGAGTAGAGTGATGTCAGGTGTGAATGGGCGGAGTTAACTCTAAAACAGACACTTTCTTCCGCCCATGACCATATATGGTCACTTGACTCAGAGTGAACGCAAAACTTCCTATCTCCATTTTGGAAATGTGAAGCACCAACAAGATTTTCGGTTGAAACTCCACACATGCAAACTGTGATACCTGCCAGGTGAAACTGCAGTATTTGCTGCAAGGTATATGACAAAGACTATAGAAACGAAACTTAATGGAAGGTGACTAGATTTAGGACAAGGCAAGTTTATTTATATAATATTTATATTGTACAAAATTCAGGATATCCCACATATGTAATTTCTATATACTACTTGCATTTCATTCACATTAGTGATTCAAATGCATACTTAATAAAGAGGGGGGGG